CAAACTGCTTTCTTTTCTGTTGTTGTTTCTTAGTGATTTACCAAATTTTTCTTATTTCCCAATTTAGTTGACCAAAGTTTTTTTGGTGAAACAAATAACAAAACGCAATACAGTAAACCTCCTCGCGTTATCAATGCGATAAAAAAAATGGTTTTTTCTTCTGACTACTTCAGCCTCTTTAATCTTTTCAGTGGTTGACTTTTGCGTAATCCTATGAAATACTTATTTCCTTTCGGTCAGACTTAAATAAGAAAAAAAAAAGTAAAAAAAATTATTCTTTGCTCTTCATCTTTATTAACTGTTGCAAAATTTTCTACAAATAACACAATTTGTATAATTATTTTTTCTCTTATTAAATTTAAGTAAGGTATGTTTTATTGCTAGCTACACATGGCTGGTTTTAACTTCAGTTTTGCGTCATTTCTCCTACCGTGAGCATTTTGTTCAGCGGTAGCAGGGGTCAAACAGATATGAAACTATACAGCTGCGTGGGAGGCTCAGCTGTAAAAGATTATGAGAGCTCTTTGACTAGTGATACTTTAAAACTGTAAATTTTAACCAGAACTGACACTGTTAATGTTTCAAAAGTTATGACAAGTTAAGTAGCATGAAATTAGTGGCTAAGGCAAATACGTCTACAATTCCTAACTAATGTAGCACTTCTGCCTAGAAAGTGTTAGCGTCGTGTACTTATTAACCTTAGCTTGGCAGCATACAAGAGGTCATTTAATGTTTTTATTATGTCTTCATTTTTTTTAGAAAGTAATTTAAACGATTCTCTCAGAAGGCATTCTCAAGATTACTCTTTTCAAGAACGGCCAAATACTTTTCCAAAGGCGAAACCATTTAAGCGGTACCTTCTCGTTTTCATAAAATTCTGATCTAGAAAAATCAAAATTATTTCGCATACTGAAGTACTACCACCGACACAATACTTATTGTGCATTTTTTAACTTGGTTAGCGATTGTACCTTACCTTCTATAAAGATTATTTTTTTTTGTGCAGGAAGGAAGTTAAATTTATCGACCAAGACTATCCGACCAGGCAAAGAGCACGATCGTTGACCCCAACTAGATCTCGAAGCATACCGGAAATGTCTCATTATGGCAGTTTAGGAAGTTTGTACAATAAAAATTCAGACTACAATCGAGATTTGCTTTACAGTCCAGCTTATTCAATGCTAGATCGTAGTCAGGTTAGTTGTTGTTTTCTAATTTTAAAAGAAAAAACTCATGCTTATTATAGAAGAAGTTTGATATCGCTTCAGTTTCATAGTAAACGTTTAGGGTAGCATTTTCATAAGTTTGTCAGATTTATGTTGCAATTTTTTAAGTAGTAAATTAAAAGAATAATAAACAGGTTACTAAAACTGGCACACTGCATTACTTGATAAGAAGCGAAAGGAAACCTGGATATATACATATATATAAAATTTATTGACTAACTTTTTTAACTTCTTTTCACTCTATATATATAAATTGTGTATTTATATATTTATACTTAATTATTTATTTTACTTATTAATATTTTTTACTCGGTTACTTATCTAGTCATATTTGTATTTATACAAATATATATTTATCTATATATATCTTCGTATAGATGTTTGGCAATTTTCATTTATATGCGTATATTTTCTAATTTTTATTTCACTTTTTCTAATATTTATATTTATGCTTATATTTACATCTTATTTTCATTTACAATTATATTTATATTTAACATTTTTCAAATTTTGCTTTCACAAGATCTGCAAAAAGAATTTTTTTTACAAATTGAATGTTCATTGGTATGTGTCAGCTGAAAGTGCAGTAGCTCAAAAATTAGCTCGTTAGACATTTGGAAGTTTATTGTTTTCAAGACGTATTTCCTTGGTTTTTTATTGTAGCTATACCAACTGCTATAGCGTCAGTTGCTGTACTAGAAAATCAAAGTTTTTTTTCTGTTTTCAGATTAATAACACAGATCAGTTTGTAAAAAGTTAACTTATTTTCTTTTTTTTTT